TCAACATAGACAAGCACAATAGAATAATCTTTTCAGAAAATATGACATCAGTAGTCCTTCGCAAAGTTTGGACCTATTTAAACGAAAATGTAAAATTTAAAATGTAGTTCGACTTAAGTAACTAGAATCTATAGAGTTAAATACATACATGTTCCTTGAACCAAATGTGAAAAGTTTCAAAATGTTCACACCGAAGCTGATGATCGTCGACACGAGGCATTTTGAGCTTAAGTGCTTCAAGGTGTTTGCTGTGTACATTGAAATTTTAGCAATACAAAAAAATTTGTTGAAAATTCAATAAAACATAATAAAATATTGAGTGAGTGACTTAACCTACTTTATGAATGGTTGAACCGCGCTTGTATTGAATAAGATGTACCAATGAGCTTATACCCAAGAAGTATTATCAAGATAAAAGCTTGTGTTTTCACCAATAGCATGACCCAAATTATCAGCACCACTATAGTTCCTCACGGGTCGACTAGATTTGGTTTCCACATCATTGAGATATTGTGCACAAAAATTCATGCATTCTTCCATAAGATATCCTTTAGCAATTGATCCTTCAGGATGAGCTCTATTACGTACGTATTGCTTCAAAGTAAGAAGATACCTCTCAATTGGATATATCCATCGAAACTGAATCGTTCCACCCAATAAGGCTTCATCAGCTAGATGTATAGGCAAGTGCTCCATTATATCAAAAAAACTCAGAGGAAATATTTTCTCTAGATGACAAAGTGTTGCAGTGATACGATCTTGAATATATTGCAAATCCGTCGCACGATTCACTTTCGAACACAATTGTCTAAAGAAATTGCTCAATTCAATCAAGGGTTCAATTACATTCTTCGGTAACGATCTTTGAATAGCCAATGGAATAAGTTGTTGCATCAGAATATGACTATCGTGGCTCTTAAGACCCCCAATACTTCTATCATGTGAGCGCACACGACGTGATATATTGGATGAATACCCGTCGGGAACTCTTGTTTCCTTCAACACTTTCAAGAACAAATCTTTTTCATCCTTGGTCATTGTGAATTGTGCTGGTGGTAAATAGGCTTTATTCAACCCTCTTAACTGCAAATGTAGGGGTTTTCTAATATTCATATCTTGTAAATCACGCCAAGCATTAACGCCATCCTTCGATTTTCCTGCAACCCCTAATATTGTCCACAACACATTGTCACAAACATTCTTCTCTATATGCATCACATCGAGGTTGTGTCTTATTAGATTGTGCTCCCAATATAGCAGTTCATAAAAGATACTCTTTTTCTTCCAACTATGGGTGCGATGTCCAGCTTTCTCCTTCTCTACCTGTCTCCTATGCCTCTCCTTAAGGTCATCCCTATTGTATTGGGTTAAAATACCCTCAGATTCTAATTGTAGCAACATCTCAGTTCCAGACAACAATTTTGGTTTGAGTCTGACTTCCCGACTACCATCAAATGATACTTTATCTTTCTGGAATTTATGGCCAGTAGGTAAAAATCTACGATGACCCAAGTATGATTGTTTCCTATTATGCTTCAACCAACACGATGTAGTTTCCTTATTGCAACAAGGACATGCATATTCGCCTTTAGTGCTCCATCCTGAAAATTTGCGTATGCAGGAAAATCACTAATTGTCCACAGTAAAGCTGCATGCATTTGAAACATTTGATTTGTTGATGCATCAAATGTTGACACACCCTCATTCCATAGTTCTTTCAACTCCTCAATCAACGGTTGCATATACACATCAATCTTGTCACCAGGTCCTTTCGGGCCGTCAATAAGCACGGATAAAATTAGAAATGGTTGCTTCATGCACATCCATGGCGGCAGGTTGTATGGAATGAGCACAACAGGCCAAGTGCTATGAACTATGTTCATCGTCCTGAATGGGTTAAAACCATCAGATGCTAAGCCAAGCCTTACACTTCGGCAATCATTACTAAAGTCAATATTCCGATAGTCAAAATCTTTCCATGCAAGGGAGTCAACAGGATGCCTGAAGACACCATCATCAGTTCGTTCCTTTGCATGCCATCTCATGAACTTGGCCGTCTTGGATGACATAAACAACCTCTGCAACCTAGGCTTTAAAGGAAAATACCTCATCTGTTTTGCAGCTATTTGTTTGCCACCTTTGTTAGGACCATTTGAACCACCATCACCATTTGATTTCCATCTAGAACTGTTGCATATGACACATTTGTTAAGATTGGCATCCTCGTTTCGAAACAACATGCAACTGTTGGGACATGCATCCCACGTCTCATACGTGAAGCCCAAATCTGTTGTGACCTTTTGAGCTTTATAATATGAGTCCGGGAGTTTCACACCCAACGGGAACGCCTCATTCAATAACTCAAGCAACATGTCAACGGACTTGTCTGTCCACTGATTAAGCACCTTCAAATGTAGAAGTCGAACAATGAATGACAAAGATGTGAACTTCTGACAACCCGGATACAATTCACTTTGTGCATCTTGAAGAAGTTTGAAATACTTTGCAGTCTTTGCATTTGGAACGAGCTGGGGTTCAGATGCATGGGGATCAGGCCCCTGTGTTTCATCACCCTCAACACTTGTACCGGCATGTGGATTTCCCATAGCCCCATGTATCATTCCAATCATATCATCCCCAATGTCTAAATTAGCTAATGTTTCATTCTCTCGATTACCATGCAGAGATACGTAAGATTCCCCATGATTAATCCAATGTTTGTATTTTTTTAAAAAACTATTCAAAATCAGATGCTCCCGTACACCCTCTCGTACAAAATAGTATCGATTTTCACACTTCCTACACAGACAACTGATCATCGAATCTTCAACCCTATTAGTGTAGGCAAACACAAGGAATTCATCAATCCCATTAATGTATTTGCTCGACATCCTATTTGGCAAATCAATCCAACTCTTATCCATCATCTGTACACATCCACAAAAATATCTCATCAAAGTAACTCTAAATATAATACCTACGTATTCATGTACCATGATACCTATCCATCCAATTTCTCTCAAATAGGTAGGTAGTCTTATCCTAGTTAGTTATTTACCGATTTAATAGGAGAACATAAAAAATAAAATACTTATACAATAACACGTGAGATCAATTAATTGAAGAAAAAATGATATAATTTCATACTTTCTGAGTCATAACTTAAAAAATAAATAAATCATAACCAAACACCACATGAGGCACAACCAAAGATCTTATAAGTCTTAACTAAAATAATATCATAATTAACGAAGATAATTCATCATAACTAAAGAAAAAAAAAAATGACATAACTAATGATGCATATGATAAATGGATGTGTATGGTAGAATTCTCCAAATTATTAGTATTCCATAATACTATGCGGCATTATTTATAAACTTGATAGATGAGTTATACAAAAACACACTAATCAAGTATATTGTCTCAAAAATTATTTAATAAAGATGGATCATTATTCTGTATATTATAATTTTGAACATCACA